CCCCAAAACCCCAAAACCCCAAAACCCCAAAACCCCATTGCTCACCGCTAGGATTGAATGGAGTTAACTAACTCTTTTGGCTGCATTCAGTTTTGGCTTGAAAGTATTCACACATCGGCAAGTCTCATCGTCAGACCTCTGGTTGACCCTTCTGTATATTCCTGTAAGCTTCTGCCAAACCAGATCCTTCTTGGTAACTAGGGCATTAAATGGTTTGACTATACTATAATCATTCCAAAAATTCAAAAAAGCGTATAAAAATAGGGTAAATCCTCTATTTTCTCCAGTTCTGGTCAATCTTGGGACTAGCATATCATAAAGGCATCAAGGGTTGCTCAGAGATTACTCGTGAACGAATCAGTGACCCTATCTAGGAGTCTTACAAAGTGCACCTAACTTATCGGATTATATTGTCACACATAAAAATCCAACCAATAAAGCTCTTCCTGTTGTTTGGAATTACTTTTAATCCTATATGACCATCTTAGCCTATTACAAAATTTGGATTCGTTTACAACCTCTGTAGAATACAACTGAGCTAAAGACAACTTAGGACTTCTTTGAGGGCCTCTGAAGTACTAAATTAGACCTCCATTTCCATTTGGTCAGGTAAAGGTAGAAAAATCGAAACAAAATTCTGATTTTTCGAAATTTGATCACAATTTTGCTACTCCATTTGAAATTCCTATACAAACACCAGCGGCTATAAGCCCTGTTAGGAGTATCTAAACATATTTATGGACCTTAATGCACAAATTGGGCATCTTTCATCTACTTATGCATGCTAACATGCTTCAGAACTTGCTAAGGCTGGCAAGTTTGGAGGTCACTAATTTTGGTACCAGAAATTCATGTGGAGAATTAGCTTCTAAAAAGCAGCTGAAATTATGGCCAATCCCGAGATTTCATAGTAAGTATTTTAGTAATAACGTTGATAAGGAATTTATATAAACATCTAGAACCAGTACCAGTCTGGGTATTAGCTCAGAGGCAAGGCTGATTAGTAAGCCCTAAACTTAGGAGTGGGAGCATCCACTTTCTCCAACCTCTGTGTCGTCTTTCTTTGCCTCTTAATGATTGCCAGCTGTAGTAGGTCGCTTATCTGAGCCTTCATTGAAGTGCAGGATGTCAGTTTATTTTTATGGAATCGTCCATTCTTCCTTAACTTACTTTTGGAAGCTAAGTCGTTAATCAGACCCTTGGAAACTCTTGAGCAAGTTGAGAAATCATTATAAGCTGAAGGAATATTCTTTGAGGTGCCTATATCCTCAGTAAGCTTATCTTCAAGTCTTCTCCTATTGGCAAGCCCATCTGAGTTGATTGTAATTTACACGACGGAGTGCTTCATACCAAAGGGTTATTGGCCATGTTTTTCTCTAAACTTGTTGATGTTTTTACCTTTGATAGGACAACACCCTCATCAAGTAATTCCTCTGACAAATCTTCTTCATAGAGGCACTCCCTAGGGTTGATTTGGAACGAAAACTCCATTTCTAATAATAATTTATTTACTCTTTTCATGATGATAAGTTTATATCGGGGTTTTGGGGTTTTGGGGTTTTGGGGTTTTGGGG